CAATTTGAGTTGAATTACTGAAATAAATGAACTTTTCCACGACATTCTAATTTATTGAGATGCACCTGTATATAAATATATATATATATATATATATATATATATATAAATACACCTTGCTACGTGTACTGTGTTAGGCTAACCAAGACTTGTCATTTGCACTTATATATTGTTGCTCTTTTGTTAGTTTTGACTGCTTTTATTGTCCTCATTTGTAAGTCGCTTTGGATAAAAGCATCTGTTAAATGACTAAATGTAAATGTAATTTAAGTCATTTTTTAAAAATATTTTAAACAGAAAATATTTCAGAACAGAAACTTTATAAACAACAAGCCTAAACAAATTAATTTTAAGGCAAAACTGAAAAAAAAAAAAAAAACCGATGATGGCCTCACAAACCTCGCTCATTCGGCACAAATCTAAATGTTTCCATATTTGTCATGTATTTGGATGCCAAAATATGATTTATTATGTAGGCTAAACCAGGTTTTGTCCTTCACTTGCGTTCCAATATCCACGTGAAACAAATTGTGCTTGGCCTAATATCACGGTGGTATGGTGGGTACAATGAATGTCACAGATTTGTACTACGGACTATATAAATTGAGCAGTGTGGTTTTTCAATATATTTGGAATATACTGTATTTTATTATGATAATAAACAGGCTGCGTTGTCAAGTTAGCAAAGCTTAGAACTGTGTGAGCGTGTGAGCCATGATCACTTGAATTTTTGCCTTATAAATGTGAAAACAACTTACAAAAAGCTACTCCTTTGTTGTCATATAGATAAGAGGCAGACATCATTCGAAACCACTATTACAATTTGAAATATTACTTTTATTTGTGTACATTCACAATACAAACAAAACATTGTGCTTTTGTAAAATATAAGAAAACAAACAGGAAGTTGAAGTTGTTTGTAGAGCGCATCACAAAACTGAACCAAAACTCTGCATATAGGCTACTACTTGCTGCAGAGTTTTTTTAAATTTTAAATTTTGTTAATTTATTCATTATTTAAGAAACATATATTTTGCATATAGGCCGTATTCCTTTATATGTATATTGCTTTTTTTATGTTTTTCTCTGTTCGCAGAAGCACTGCAGGTGCGTGATGTGACCATGTTTATGTTGCTTTATGTGCATGCAAATGTAACAATTTCTGCTATTTTCATGGGTCACAGCCACCTATCTATTCAAATTTAATTTAATTCTAATTTAACATAATCTTGTTATGTTAAAGGTTAATAATCGGTTAACGAGCGTCGGCTGTCGGTTAGGAAAAATAACCAAAATGAACATTTTCAAAAGTGGCAAACATAAAGTCCCACTCAGCTCTGTCAAAAGCTTTTTCAGCATCAAGGGAGAGAACAAGTGCAGGGTGCCCTTCATTTTGAACAAATTAATAACATTTAAAAGTCTGCGTATATTATCAGTGCTGTAATGGGATTTCACATTATTCTGCTGCCTGATACTGCAGAAGAACTGATGATGGCACGGTTTGATCTTTGGCTGACCAATCAGCAGAAAGGGGCGTTTAATTCCCGCCCACGTGTAGAAATAGAATATTCAAGCGGTTTATACATTTTTCCACCCATGAACAAAAAACGAAAATTTAAGCTGAATTTTCGTTTTTCGGGAAAAAACGAAAAAACGAAAAAGGAGCCGTTTTCTAATTTTTCTACTTTCAATATTAAATAAAAAACTAATGATCGAATGATACACGGATTATTTTTCTATCAATTCTTCAATAGATAGATCTTGTCTTTCATAAAGGCCGAGGTCAGGAATCTTGGGCCTAAAAAGGTTGGTGACCACTGATCTAGAATATTCAAATAACAAATTAATCATTCTTTTTGCACAAATCATTGTTTGAATTGCGAACATAGCCACTTAAGGAAGGCTTTAAGACCTTGCAGAGTCCTCTGCCACCCTGGTCACTCCCGCTTCACAGCGAGCGGGGCGAGCACTAATGGCAATCCCCTTCACCATCCGTGTTTTGATTTTGCCAAATCAGTTTGGGTGAATGCAAAGAACGCGATTATTGATCATAAGTACAACATCCAGCTAGGCAAGAAAACATGCAATCTATCTGAAGGAAGACGTCTTTCAGTATGGTAAGTTGATGTTGTTAAATAGAGAAACAAAATTACACATTTTTAAAATTGTAACTTCTAGCATACTCCTAAACCTGGACCACATTAATATTGAAGAACAAATTCAAGCACCAAAAGCAGCCCACACACTCCAAGTTCTCATGAATTCATAGGCTACATTTTAGTTCAAAATTTTAAATGTCATTATTTTTAAAAAATGCTTTATTGATTGAAGTTTCATAGACATTCAGCTGTTATACTTTCAAATTTTATACCATATTGCATGTAATTTCCCAGTATGGGGGCAGTCGTGGCCTAATGGATAGAGCGATGGACTTGTAACCCAAAGATTGTGAGTTCGAGTCTTATTTTTTGTATAACATACGTGGCTGATGCTTTGTGTATAACATACGTGGCATTTTTTGTATGACATTAAACTTTATTTTTAGAATAATTGTACATAGATTAAGCAAAACAAATGTGATTATTTCTGAGAACCTTTTATACACATACTTAACTGCAGACACGGAAATTACATACTCTATGTGGTACAGAACAAATATTTTAAGCGGGTCTTATTCTGTTCCTTTATTTTCCTATAAAGAATCACAGTTGTCCATTATTTTCATTTTCTGAAGTTGGCAACCCTAGCATCATGTGACTTGTTGGAAATTCAGTGAGAACTTTTCATAAGCACTTAGCATATACTGTAGGATATCTTGATGCACCACTTTCGAAGTACAACCCAATTAAAATACAAATAGAACTATGAGTGCTGAAATCCAGTGAAGTCAACTGTGACAAAAATAGTATGCATGCTTATTATGATAATTAGGGTAATCTGCAGGCAGCACGAAAAGACAGGCATTCTGAGGTGTTTTTCAATTGAGAATGTTATTGAGTGTTTAACAGACCCCATCACCCCCCTCTTCAAGCAGAGGATAAACAACATTAAAACTTAAATATAAGTTAACGCGTATACTTTAACAGTCTTCGATTTTATATAGTGCCTCATAAGTCAAATTCCTTGACATTTTCCTTGACTCATAAAAAAATGCTTTATTGATTGAAGTTTCATAGACATTCAGTCGTTATACTTTCAAATGTTATGCCATATTGTGTGTAATTTCCCAGTATGTGGGAAGTCGTGGCCTAATGGTTAGAGAGTCGGACTCTTAACCCAAAGGTTGCGGGTTCAAGTCTCGTACCAGCAGGGATTGTGGGTGGGGGGAGTGAATGTACAGCGCTCTCTCCCCCCTTCAATTCCATGACTGAGGTGCCCTTGAGCAAGGCACCGAACCCCCAAATGCTCCCTGGTCGCTGCAGCAAAAAATGGCTGCCCACTGCTGTGTGTGTGTCCACTTTGGATGGGATAAATGCATAGCACTAATTCCGAGTGGGTCACTTCACTTTAAATGTTTCCAATCCTGCTCCTGGGGGGCAAATGTCCTGCAGGTATTAGCTCCAACACACTTGCCTAGAAGTTTCTAATGAGTCTGAATACCCTGATTAGCTGGTTCATGTTAGATTGTATAAAGTTAGATGTATTTAATTAGGGTTCAAGCTAAACTTGCAGGACAGTTAACATGTTTGGACACCCCTGTCTTGCAAGTCTATTTTGGCAAAAGTCATCTTTACATGACTGCAAGTTGGACAGCATTTTTAACCACCATGCACCTTGTTGTGATCACCAGTTATCAGTTCTGCACAGAACTTGCTCATTTCAAATGAGTCTAATCTAAACATTTACACTGCAGAGGGATTCACATGAGATTCTGAAGGTTCTAAGTTGTGGACCTCAGACTCACACTTTGCTTATACATAAATGTCAAGGAATAGACTCTGATTAGATGAGGACCCTATTCATCTGTGTATAAACAAAATCTGCAAACAAACAGAATTAATAGATAGTAACGATTGAAGATACATAAGCAAATAAAGATAAATTAGAAAAAAAGGGGGAAACGTGTTTATTAATTCATTTCCCTGTTGAAAAAAAAACAGCATATGCTGGTTAGGTATGTTTTGAAGGTTTAAGCGTTAAATGATCTGGTTTAAGCTGGTCATGTGCTGGTCCTAAGCAGGAGCTAGTTGCTTAGGACCAGCACATGACCAGCTTAAACCAGCTCAAACCAGTAGCCATGCTTCAAAACAAACCTAACCAGCATATGCTGTTTTTTTTCTCAGCAGGGTTCACCAATTACAGCAGCAGTGAAATATTTGCTGTACTGTCAAATAAAACATTGAGTATTTAGCAATACAACTACTAATACTAATTTTACAGAAAACAGTTAAATTACATTACTGATATTTATGGATGTGTAAATCATAGGACTATTATTTTGCTGGAAAATGGCTGGTATGTGTTGCGTTTTCAAAGAGATGGGGTTTGTGTGGAGAAACGTACTACAAAACAAGCCACTCTGCGACACTGAAAACACTGAATTATGTGCTACTGATGTGATAAAGAACACAATGCAAAGCAGAAAATCACATCACAAAGGGTGTTCACCTTGTGTGTAAAGGGGTTACCACACCTGAATTTGTGGAAATAACTTAATGTCACCCCAAAAACACTGAATACATGTCCTTTGTAGTTTTTAAAAAAAAAGGTCACACAGGCTAAATAAATAAATACATAAATAAACAGTTTTTGCTCAGTAAAATCATTTTATGGTTCTGAGATCATTTCTGCCACAAGAGCTAAAATAAGACATCTTGAAATAACACCATGCAGAGTGAATCCAGTGAACCCAAGCCATGCAGATTATTCTGTTGGGAAATTTAGTGACATGCCACATTTGTACCTGGCCCACTTGATGAAGTATGGCAGATGATTGAGCAAGTTGAAAGTGTAGAAAGAGTAACGAGTGATCTCTGTAATCGTCCAAACTACTACGAACAAGATCACACTCTCCTCGTTCTGAATCTTAGCATATGTTTCAAATGAAAGGAAAAATAGTAAAATGTAAAAGCCAATTTAGAGATTGTACACAGGTTAACAGTGAATAATTTCCATAATTCCATAATTAATGTCTATATTATGCACACTGACCTGTCTGATGCTGTTTGTAATAAACCAAACCATGAATATCCGAGAACATACTTGGACCCCCGTCACAATTACAGATGTCCGCACAATTCCTTTAAAACACCAAAAATAACACCTGGAAATCTCTGTATTTCTCTGTATTTATCTGGAATTAAATACTTATATAACACTTAAAAATGCAGTACATACCAATAGCACAGTGTCCAACCTGAAATAAAAACAGAAGGAGCTAAGAACATTTCCTTCAGAAAAATAATAAACGCAAGAGGAAAAAAATGAAGATAGATTAAGAACACAGGTGCAAGCATGCTAAAAGACACAACTATCCAGTGAACCCATTTTGATGCTTCATGTCTTTTTACCCAGTCCCATAAATTATTAAATATCATTGAAAACATTTCAGTCACCATATTTTAGCCAATTTGTGGGTAAGTTGCCTCATAATATTGCTTCCAGGTAACAGTTCCTCATTTATACAAAGTATTATTCTGAGAGTGAAAAGCAACAAAAACACAGACAATACTACATCACCAGCAGGCATTTATAATATTCAATGTCCGGCTCAGAAAAGACATGTATGGTATGGAGATAACCTTATTCCATAGGTTTAGAACACACTAACAGTACAACTGGAAGTAAACAACAGTTTGTCTTCTATGTCTACTTCTATATCTGACTAGGCTGATTTAGAGGTAAGCTTACAATGTTTAAATGACAAGCACCATCTAATGTTCAGACTTAACATAACACTTACATTTACTGCAGTGAACTAGTGGCACTGCACAAACCACTGGATAGGCAATTTACTTGAAAAACAATTTAGTGAATTGAGTGTTCATACACACTGCTTCATTTATTTAAAACTCAAATATGGCTATTTACAATAACCCACACAAAGCCATTTGCTACTGCATCTTTATTTTTGAAGGATCTAAACTTTAGAAGGATACTAAGATTATAAAAATAAATAAGTAATAATAATAATTTAAAAGAATGTAACTTTTTACCATTACTGCATTTCCTGCATGCTTCTCTTTCCCTTCTCTTTCCCTGACTCTACCTTTTGGTAGGTAACAAAGTGTTGATTATTTTGGCTATCAAGCTTACATTCTGACAAAGAGAAAGATTCAGCATGGCTGGATCTAACATTCCTGACATAGTTGAGGCTGGATCTAACATTGTTTCATTTGAATGTCATCTTGAGCAACCAAATATGTGTTTATAGCTGTTTAGACTGCTGTAGAAAAAAAACTAAAACAAATAAACAAGTGTAAAATCTCTGTGTTTAATTCATATTTATTTGAATGTATGTGGGTCACGTGTGGCACTTGGTAAATACATATATGAATAAAAACACAATATTTCTCATTGGTTTTAAATTAGTTTAAATCCCAGGTTGATATATACAGTATATATATATATATATATATATATACAGTGGGTACGGAAAGTATTCAGACCCCCTTAAATTTTTCACTCTTTGTTATATTGCAGCTATTTGCCATTTTTTCCTCATTAATGTACACACAGCACCCCATATTGACAGAAAAACACAGAATTGTTGACATTTTTGCAGATTTATTAAAAAAGAAAAACTGAAATATCACATGGTCCTAAGTATTCAGACCCTTTGCTCAGTATTTAGTAGAAGCATCCTTTTGATCTAATACAGCCATGAGTCTTTTTGGGAAATATGCAACAAGTTTTTCACACCTGGATTTGGGGATCCTCTGCCATTCCTCCTTGCAGATCCTCTCCAGTTCTGTCAGGTTGGATGGTAAACGTTGGTGGACAGCCATTTTTAGGTCTCTCCAGAGATGCTCAATTGGGTTTAAGTCAGGGCTCTGGCTGGGTCATTCAAGAACAGTCACAGAGTTGTTGTGAAGCCACTCCTTCGTTATTTTAGCTGTGTGCTTAGGGTCATTGTCTTGTTGGAAGGTAAACCTTCGGCCCAGTCTGAGGTCCTGAGCACTCTGGAGAAGGTTTTCGTCCAGGATATCCCTGTGCTTGGCCGCATTCATCTTTCCCTCGATTGCAACCAGTCGTCCTGTCCCTGCAGCTGAAAAACACCCCCACAGCATGATGCTGCCACCACCATGCTTCACTGTTGGGACTGTATTGGACAGGTGATGAGCAGTGGCTGGTTTTCTCCACACATACCGCTTAGAATTTAGGCCAAAAAGTTCTCATCAGACCAGAGAATCTTATTTCTCACCATCTTGGAGTCCTCCATGCGGGCTTTCATGTGTCTTGCACTGAGGAGAGGCTTCCGTCGGGCCACTCTGCCCTAAAGCCCCGACTGGTGGAGGGCTGGAGTGATGGTTGACTTTCTACAACTTTCTCCCATCTCCCGACTGCATCTCTGGAGCTCAGCCACAGTGATCTTTGGGTTCTTCTTTACCTCTCTCACCAAGGCTCTTCTCTGAGTCTCACAGCTGGACTCAAATGAAGGTGTAGAACCATCTCAAGGATGATCAGAAGAAATGGACAGCACCTGAGTTAAATATATGAGTGTCACAGCAAAGGGTCTGAATACTTAGGACCATGTGATATTTCAGTTTTTCTTTTTTAATAAATCTGCAAAAATGTCAACAATTCTGTGTTTTTCTGTCAATATGGGGTGCTGTGTGTACATTGAGGGAAAAAATTTACTTAAATTATTTTAGCAAATGGCTGCAATATAACAAAGAGTGAAAAAGGGGGTCTGAATACTTTCCGTACCCACTGTATATAAATAAATCACCTCAGTTTTCAAAGTGAACTATGAGGATGCACCACTCAGGATCATGTGATCATAAATGCCAAAATCCCTTTCTGAAAGGATTCGGTTGCTCACTTTTGCTTTGAAAGTAGTGTCACCTTCTTGCAAGTGCGCAAAAATGCAGTTTGGAATTCACCTAAATAAAACATGATGTTAACATGCAGAGTGAGGCACAATATTTATAAGATAACTAACTAAATAAATAAACACAGGGTTTCTACAGACATAAACAAGTTATATTTAAGACTTCTTAAGACCTTTTTAATACCACCTTATATGAAATTCAAGACCTAAACCTGTAATGGAAATACACAGTACATATATTTATGTAATATTTAATGTTTAACGTAAAAAGAAAACAAAATATAAATTTTATTACTACGATATACAGTGAACTTTTCATATCAGCAGACAATATTCCATGCAAAATATCCCCACAAAAGCACTGCATCACTGAGATTTTTGGTGGTGTAAACAATTTATTCTGAAGCAATATTTTCAGTGTTCTATCAGCTTTTACATACTTAAATCTGCATATTTTTATTTACCTTTACAAAGGCCTATTTTTACAAATGCATAAATAATGTTTTGATATATTAAACATAAAACGTTGAATACTGATATTTGAAATTATTTAAATAATAAAAAGGTACTTTAAATGTGAAATTAAAACCACCAGTAGGTGGCAGCAAGTCACTGTTAATATGTGAGTCATTGCGATTGAACTGAATCATTTAAACGGTTGATTTATTAAGGAACGAAACACCGTCATGTTGCTCAGAGACGCAAAACGGTGCTGTAGCTGTGTTTGGAATTATTTTTGTTGTCGAAATAGTGCAAAAAGAGGCAATATGGTGTCTAAAACGTTAAGTCTCTTAATTAACTTCTAGTTTATTGAACTGTTGTAAAAATCAATATCACATTTGTAATCATGGTAATTTTTGGAGAAAAAAAATGACACTTCATGTGAAAATGATTAACTACATGAAGTGGTATAAATATAAATTTTCTGCTCGCATATCTTGAATTTTGTGATCATTGTAAATGTATTTTAATAGACTGAATCAAGCAGTGAAAGAATGCACTCTAAATGCACAAGCGCACTAGTCTAGACTTCACGTAATCATAATAGACTTGATCAGTATCGCGTCATAGCTGTATGGGCGGAGTCGGCGTGGGGGAAAACAGTCCTTTCCCCCTCATTGGAAAAGCATGGTTTTGACTCAGAATGGCCTACATAAAATCATTTCTACCGCTCGACAGAGCAACATACGCATAAAAACTGAGCCGTATTTGGTCGGACTGTCCGTACGGTATCTGTGACTGGACAAATGATCCAACGGAATGGCCAGAGGTGTCGTTTCCCGACATTTTCTGTTACCTAATTGAGCAAGAGACAGCTTACAACAAGCCTATATGAGACAGCTTGGGAAAGTGAACATTTGTCGTTTTGTTTTGCTTCATTTTAATAAAGTAATAAAGACTTGAGTAAAAGTAAAAGCCTGTTGTACTTTTGATATATTAAAAAGTTTTTTTAACATTGACAAAACAGGTAACTTTAAGGTCCACTGAAGTGCCTTGAAATGCGCAGCGTTATTCTGTGGTGTGTGCTGCGGCTGCCTAATCATTTTCACAAATACATGCCGTAAAATAAAGATAACATGAAAATGTGTATATAATTATTATAATAATAAGTGGGAAAGTCGTGGCTCTTCAGGACCGGAGTTCGCCACTGCTGGCATAGATGCACAGGCATACGCCCATTACGCCGTAGCCTGACGTGCATCTCTCCAAAAATCTAACAGCGCGTCAATATGGCAAGCCGTAATTGCACTAGTAAGAAATCGGATTAGAGATATCTCTAAATACTTTATGACTAGTCAAAACTCCATTTAAGATATCTGTAATGACATCATAGATATCTTCAATAGGGCGTCACACATATGCAAAGGTAATTAGAGATATCTCTCATTCAGTTTCGACTAGTCACAATTATATTTTAAGATATCTGAATTGTACCTGCTCCTAGTCGAATGTGCTGTTGTGTGACATGAGGCTAAATTAACTCAGCTCCTCCCAGAGCCCCTCCCCGACTAATGTTTAGTGCTAACTGCTAACAACAGTGGTCTGCTTTTCTTGTCACGGAGAGAAAAGCTACTGGATGAATTACTTCAGGGGTTATTAAATAATATCTGGATGCAGCCATATGTGGTAAAAGGTCTCCAACTTGCATGTATGTATAGCGCTGTGATTTTAATTGAATCATGTTGCAAAACGGACCAAATGCAGTGTAATGTTCAATAAAGGCAGAAAACAGCAAACTGCTCGTCTGAATTTATTTATTATACGTTTAGACATAATGAAGAA